ACAAGTAACACTACATGACCAGAGTGCTTCTTCCATACAACTTTTTCAATAAAGTATTCCCCAGTTATGGATTTAATGTTCAATTCTTGGAGTAGAGTTGGTTCTAGTTGATTTCCACTGAATTTGTTATCACATGCCAGTAAATCTCCTGTTCTTTAAAAATCAGTTATATGATTTCCTTTTCTCTTTTTCCACATGCCCTATCTTTCAACCACTCTTTCACTAGCACACACGCTGCCGCCGCTCTGTTCACAGATGGACTTTGTATTTTTCACTGAATATTTGCAAAGGGCTGAATTTCTTCACATGACCGGTAATCAGTCCTGTATGTGAAGTAAATGCAACAAAAAGTTTAAAAAAGGTAAATATAGTCTGGCAAGAGCTTGTTTCTCTTTAATGTCTGTTTCCTATCATGGATTTTGTTTCTGTGGGCCAGAAATGCATGTAAATCTTCTTGTGTCTTCAGAAGGTTATTTATATTTTGGGACTGGATGAATGCCCATTTCTTCGTATCTTTCTGTCATTCATCAATTCTTTTTCAGCAATAAAATATGTACAAATATGAATTACTGGCAAGCCTTAAAAATCTGAAACAAAACTATAAAATAAAGTTGCAGAATATAGCTAGTCACAGTGCATAGTCAAGAAAAATTGCAATGTCCGTTGCACTGACGTGAACCCTGGGTTTTCACACCCTTGTTAAAAAAAATCAAATGGATTTATATTAAAAAAAAATCATTATCAAATACTGACTTTGAACTAGAGAAATAACTGATACCACTAACAATATTGTCAGGGGCTAAGATGACTTCTTATGAAGGCAGTTCATAATAGTTCTGACACTTGAGCAAGAACTTGCTTAAGGAACCGTTTGCCTTGTAAGGCTCCATGATGATAAGACTTCCTTTCAAAAAATACTTGATTTATGAAAAAATGAAATGATTAGCTTAGTTTGCTAAACAAACCTCCAAATGATGCAAATTTGACATTCATTTATCAGCGTTAACCTGACCGTACCTTTTTCTATCCTCGAGTGTTAAGATTAAACCAGCCTCTAACACTTCCTGTTTGCGCTGCTACCTCCGTTGTGAAGTTTTTCTTTTAATTCCAATCTGTTATTTTAATTTATTTTTTTTAGCCTATTTTCTTTGAAACCATCATGGCTAACATGATGGAAATCAGTAAGTATACTTAGGCAGAAACTCCTACCCGAACGACTAAACAAAAGAAAACACCCAAATCAAAACCAGTTTTGCTTCTTACTAAACCAAACCAGAACAGCTCCAGAATTCTTAAGGCAGTCCACAAGCAGGCACTTCCCTTTTGGCCAATAAAGTTTTACATCTTTTTGCCAGTGGTGAACTTTGTTTTTAATATAGCATGTATTTCCCTGAAAGCAAAAACTGCTGCAGTTTAACCACGCTACTTTGACTTTTGGCATAACGCAAGCATGGACACACATATATTACATTACCTTCGATCCTTCTCATCACAGTGGTAACGCAGAGGGAAGAAGCGCGTCTCTCTCTTTCCATTCTGTACTTTGCTGCTGTTTCCATCTGCTCTAAGAGGCTGTGATCAACTGTTCCACCTACTTTACTAAGAGTTTGCTTAAACATTGCTCTTGGATGTCTTCATTTTCTTACATCAGCTGGTTTCCTTATGACTGTTTCACAAGGGAATCTGTATATTGTTATCCGAGGTGCTTATCTAAAATAAGTCCAGCATTTCCTCCCGATTGTGACAGAGGTAAGCTGCCAGTTGATGATTTTCTGGGGGGAAGATATGTTCCCCTGGGACTTCAAGGATATGGGAGACATACATTATATTACTGAAGTTCCAAGGATATGAAATTACACACAGCATTATGTAGTAAAAGGATCAAATTAACAAAACATACACTGAAACATTACAATCAAAATGCATAGTGAAATCGTCTTCCCCCCCACCATTTATAAGATCTCTAACAGAAGGTCATAGCTAGCCAGTACTTAAGACTCAGTCCTTCAAGTCTCTGTAGGTGCTCAATGCCACGCTGAAATCTCATAATCATTACAGATCGTGTGCTCTTAAAACTCTTAGTTACAATATGTCACTAAACACACTTTTTCCAAAATCAAAGACCCAGATTATTCAGAGAATAAAGGAATGAATCTATATTAAGCAGTAGGAGCCCGTTCTTAATTTTAAAATTATTCTATAGCTTGGAGTAGTAAAAATAAAAGATGTTTAAAAATGGATATTCCTTAAATCTGACTGCTTTTCAAAAAAGCTGTTCACTATTCTAAGCATTTTTCTTCTACTGAATTTTTCAGTGACCTAAATATAAACGAGCACATTAAAAAAAATGTCTCAAAACCAGTTACTTTTGCCAGCACTAGCTTATGTAGTCCATTACATTTTCTTTCCCCATTAAATTTTATTAAGTCCTGGTATTTTTGTTGGTTTCTGGGTGTCATCAGTTTTAACTACTATTACTTTTTTTTTTTTTTTGCTGAGTTTGAACATTTTAAATCTATTCCTTTTGGCTCCTCTTACCAAATAACAGTAAAGAAACTAACTTAATTTTTGTCAGCATATTTACCATACAGTTGCAATCCTCTATATAAATTAAAAGCAAATTAAAATGTATTTTAAATTAGATGGAAATGTGTAGAAAAAGATAAGCTGCAGAAACTGAAGCAGGCTAATCATAAACAAAGCTAATAACCTAATTATAAAGCTTACCATAAAAAAAACACAAAGCCCAAGAATAAACATAAAAATCTAAACAAAGGAAAAAACCCTGTTCTCTTATTCAGATGGGCAATCCCATTTAGACCCTTACACATTTCACAATATCTGTACACCTAAAATACAGATACTTGAGGCTGGTTGACCGTGGCTTGTTACTTGGCCATTCTTAAATGCTATATGATAGGATGGGAGGTCTCAAAATTCTGCTCCTAAAATTAATAACTTCAGGGAAGAAGAATCTGTATCAACCTACTAAAGGCTTTTTTTTTTTTTTTTTTTGGACTCTCTACTGTCCTTCTGCTTGGGTTAAATATTCAAGATGAGCATAAGGCACATAATCTTATCCCGGATATTACTGCTATTACTCTTTCATTCTATCCACACTGACACCACTATGTGACCAATGACCAGTAAACATAGTATCACTAGTTATCGTTTAGAGAGGCCACAAGCTGCAAGGCATAAAGCACTGCTAGCAACGATAGTACCCCATAAAAGAACCTTAAGGGCTAGCACAAAGTGAGCTGAACTACTGCCAATAATGTTGAATAACTTTTAAAAAATACCCTAAGTACAGATAGGACCTAGGTCTATTCCACCAACTGTGTTTAAGGAAGTCACCTGTCTAATTTGCTTCTTGACCCTCCATACGATACGAAGCAATGATACTGAAGTTCTTTCAACATTGACACATTTTTTAAGTTGTTGAATTGCTTACAGAACACTGGCAAAATCTTAAATTTTGTCCAAAACCAGAGGTTTGAACCTATGGTGGAAATCGGAGATTTATTTTAAATAATGTCTGTACTTAACAAATGCTAAGTTTTGACAAATACTAAGAAGGTACATCAAATTCTTAACTGGTAGTATACTTCCATTCCTAGCTTAAGCAATCAAAGGTAAAGAGATGAGGAGTGCGGATGTGGAGAAGGGGACAGACATCCTGGTATCTGCCTGGAACAATCTCTGCCCCCCTTGGAGTTTCTTTGTTTTGGCTTGTTTTGTTTTGAGCTGCAAGAACTCTGCAAATGGGTGTTCCCAGCTTCTGGCAGCCATATGTGCTGCCTACCATCTGTTTTCATTCCACTGTGCTATGGAGACAAACATACTTTATTTTTAGTGTTCTACATTTCCTGATGTTGCACATAACAGGGATTATATCTCACGCCTAAGCCACTATATGTGAAAAATCTTCCGTGGATAACTGATGAGTAAAGGCGACGTTATCACACAGGATCAGATGAGATAATTTTCATTACCTACTTCTCAGTGCAAGTATATAATTTATACTGAAGTTTGCTTGATTCCTGTATACCTGTGCTTTCTCTCTACACCGCCTACAAGGGGCTTCCTTCATATGTTTTAAAAATACATTTTCCCAGCAGCTTCCCGGGGTGTAGGAAATTACTGCTACAATTTCACAGTTGCCACTAGTGGTTGCTATTCTGCATGCAGCATTCGGAGTCAAAACAGGATATGAAGAAATAAACAGCTGTATGATCAACTGTAGAGAGACAACAATGCAGTACCACAAATACGTGTTTGAAAGGAGGAATTCTGTGCACAGGCTCCCACACAGTTCTGTTGGAAACCATGCACTCCAAAATTAGTTTGCAACCATTAATTGGATAGTATAGTGTTTATATAAAATTTGATTGAAGAGATTTCACTGTTACATCTCAGTGCAGCTTTGGAAGGCACCCATGTCACACTGGACAGCTAGTAATTCTTTAAAATGCACCAAACTAAACTGAATTCTAGAAAACATTGCTGATTTTACCTATACTGACATTAAGCCATACATTTCTAGTCAACAGTATTTTTTCTTTCCCCATTTAACCTCCTCCTCAAACTTCTAAGCAGCTGAGTAAGCACTGACTTTTAGCTACATACGCCCTGATCAACATCTCCTACAACTCAACCAGTATCCTATCATTGCCAGCATAACTTAATACCCCTACTTTTAAAGCACACTGCAGTACAGATCTTTCCATCATATAATATTGCAAATTCAGGATACTGTAAGTTATTATTAAGCAACTATTGATGAGCAATTACCTCTGGTTTCAAAAAATAATTAAAAATTTACGAAGAGTTGCACTGAGAGAGAGAGATCAACAAAGAAAATTGTGCCTTTAAAACAGCTTATGCATGAAGAGATTTAAAATGTTCACTGTTCACAGGGTACTCCAAAAGACACCTGAAGGAGTTCCATTTAACTTTTTCAGATTAGGTCTATTCAGTCTGAGGCTTTTACTCATTAATTCTTTCCTAAAATTAGCACTTTTATTCATTGCATGTGATCTTACAAATACAGAGGTACTTCTTGAGTAATTAGATTGGCGAGACATTTTTCCATCTTTTTAATTCATTCAAACATTTTCATAATGGACTTCAACTACTCTACTGTTTGAGTGTATGATTTTATTAAGTTATCTGCAGCTATTACTCTTCCCCCAGAGATTCTGACCAAAATTGTGAGAAAATTACTTTTATCCTACTACTTTTAAATTTATTCTGCCTTCTGCTTTCAAATTATCAAATGCAATTAAGCCGTTCTGCAATTCCTCACAGCCCTCTATTTTAAGTAATACAACGCCAAAAATAATTTCTGATTAAAGCAGTACCTTTTTAAGCTATCAAAATCACGAAGCGGAAACATTTTTGTTGATTGGTGCCACTAAGTCGTCTTTTTTTGCCCATTTTCTTCCAACATAATATACAGATTAGTCTAAAATGCTTTTCTGTTGGGTTCCCACTCAAAATCTCAGAACTAGCATTTAGCTGAAACTAAATACAGAAGGAGTTTTGAATGGAGACTGGCAAATTCACTTTGCATTAGTCAAGTGTAGACGAACACCCTTCCATACAGCTCCCTGTCACTACGTTGTTCTGTATTAAGGGAGTGAGACTCTCTTTCTAATCCCCCTCATAAACTGTCAATTTACATTCTGAAACAAAATATGTAATCTATCATACATCATTCTGTCACTCCTGAGCTGCCATAATCTACTACTTTTTAAGATGTCTGTGGTATAATTTTGACGCCTATACTCACTATGCATACGCAGTTTCCTAATAAAATCTGCATAGTCTTATATTCGCTTAGATTTGTTGAAAGGTCAGCAAACATTTATTTCAATGTAAATTATCTTTGACAATAATTTCAAATCAATAAAGTGGTTGGAAGGGTCAGAAAAAAGGAACAAAAAGCTTTAAAAACACTGATCGTGATAGCATCACCCCTAATTTTCACTTATTTTAAAATAAAACTGTAGTTTGAACTTTGCGTTATAGTGCTATAATAGAAAATTTCTTGTACAGTCCAGCCATAGCCCTCCTCAAATTCTCTGATAAAGACTACCTAATCTGAACATTCACTTTATTCACAGCACTGCTACATCTGACATCTCCTGGGTGGCAGTTTTTATTATACTCAATGCAAAGAAATTTGAACGTTGCATTAAGGAACAGAAAAGCTGTATGTACTTTTACATCAAATTTGCAAAAAGCATTCAAAGCAACTGAAGACAATAGCTTAAAAAGTAATTTCAACCTACACGCTTAATAAATCTTTTTAAAAGTGGGAAAATTTGAATTTATATAATTAAAAAGTACTTATAATGAATAATCTATTTTTTCATAGAAAAAAATCTGATGTTCTTACTCAGTTTTAAGTCTCGATTTCATATCACAGGCCATGACAATTTTAGGTACATAATGAACATTTCTTTCAAAATTAGTTTATTTTCCTAGTACACCATCATATTTCCAAACATTTCTAGGTATTAAATGCAAGTTTAATACTTAGATATCTAACAAGATCATTTTAAGATTGCTTCAGTATTTATCTTAATTTCAGCTCTTCTGGTTATTACATAAAATCATAGTTTTCTCTTAAAATGACTGTGTCTTCGATTATTCTTCAAAATATTTAAAAATCATCACAAATATCTGTTGTCATAGGAAAATGGAATTCAAACTGTTTTTCCAAGGAGTAGATTATAAAAAAACCCCAGCAAGCCAAGCCCAAAACTCCAAATTAAAGTCGGTTACAATTGCTCTGTGCTGTTATGATCATGTTTTGCTTCCTAAAAACTGTTTCCTTTCCATCATAAAGTTTAAGAAAAGAATATTTAATGATTCAATCCCTTAATTTTGGTGTTTGTATCTAAAGCAAAGAGGTTTTCATTGTGATGTTTACCTATTCAATACACGCGCAGTTTCAAGTTGGCTAAATGGAAGCAGTGAGACAGGAAATAAGCTGCCAGCAGGATGAACAGGAACTGCCAACCAAATCTTCATGTTGTATCCATGGTATAAAGTCTTCAAGGAATCCAAAGAACATCTCTTCAGTTCAGGTTCTCAGAGGTCACTGAGTTTTATAATTATCTCCAAGCAATTTTCTCCACATCCTGTTAAGCTGTCTCTGAACAGCTGTGTATGTTGCCATGCAGCTTCACCATCTCCTCCATTTAGAACTGCTCCCAACACAACTTCCGTTGCACCAGAAAAATCTGAATAGGAGCAAAGATTTTTATCTATTGGAGGAAAAGATAAACAATTCAGTAAGCCACTGCTCCAGACAGCATATAATGCTAGAATGCATGTTAAAAAGGGTAACTCGTAATGAATGTTTAAGGATCTCAGTTGCAACTACTCAAATTCATCCATCAATCAGTGGCAGAAAAAAAAAAAAACAGCTGCAAGTTTTTAGTTAATAGTTGTTTAGTGCTCATGCTCAGAGGACCTAGTCAAGATTGAATCCACGGCAGACAGAAGCATCTATCCTTCCTAGTAAAATACACAAGTATCTCGTATCCACTCTGTGTTCTTGCTAACCCTGCTCTGTTGCAGGTAGGGCTGTGTATATTAATAAAACCGGGCTTTGTACCAGTTTTTTGTACCAATTTTGATTAAATGCACAGTATTTTCTTGACCTTGCTAAGACAGACTGAGTTGGAAAAGTCCAAATGCATTTGCATTTCATTTTTAGTACTTGCACAGTGCTCTCTCCATATAAGCTATTTATTTCCAGTTACGCCTTTGCTGCATGATATAATTCATTATTTAAATTCCACACTTACCTCCTATCAGAGCAATTTCTGCTGTTGGAGAGCAAAGTCTCCACTTTATTCTTCCACTCTGAAACGTCTGACTGCTTGTCCTAATTGAAATGTTATCTATTTTTAGACCGACTGACTTGCACTCAAACTTCCAGCTGATGGAAGCAGACGATGACCCCTCTTTTCGGGCTAAATAAACCTGAATGGAAAGAATACATAGTGAGCATGTCAAAACCCGAGATGATCAACACACATCTAATCAATCGTTGTAACACGGACATAAAATCTTAAGATAACACATTTTCATTCTTTATGAAGCCTCTGAACCTTTAAAACTGTACATAGTACAATTCTGTGTATAATCTCATTCTGAATCCTTAAGTCTATTCCACGGTTAGATAATTGTACATGTTCATAGGCCTTCACTAGGGAACACTAATCTATTTCAACACGCTTGCTAAAGTTTAAGCCACAAAAATACCTAAGTTTATTATTTTTTAAAAAAGCAGACTCCTGATTTTTTATATAAATGCAGAGTCCCACATATGGTTTCATTTTGGTTGTTCAGTACTGCTGATGAAGAAAACTGTGTAATCAGTATTTTGGACTCTTCAGATGTGGCTGCTGGCTGCACACCATTTCTTCTAGGACTTGACATGTCTTGGTTAAAGCAAATCATGCATGCTAGCCATATACAAAACCTGTATTAACATTATTTGAACTGTTAGGGATTTGCATAATTTAATGTAGTCCCAATGCTGTTCTAAACTTCACCTGGCTGAACAGTCAAGCTCATATGTTAACATCCATTAAAGTTACTATGAACTCTCACAAGAATTTTGCAATGAGCGTCTGATGATCCTTTCAAGTCTAGCACCTATTATCAGCAAACCAAGATAACGGACATTACAGATTAAAGAGTCAAAACTGCCATGATCCTTTCAGAATCCTTAGTAAAGAAAATTTGTCAAAATTATGTCACATCCAGGCTTCTGATTAATGTCATACCAAATGGACTTAGATAGTTGTTTAGTTTTTAATCTGGAAAAAACAACCCTGAATAAAATGATAATAAAACACAGTAGCATGTTTTACTAAAGATCCCACCCAAATATAGAAATGTTATTGACAGACTATAAAACGGAATTTTAGTGTTATTATGCACCAGGCATAAAAATGTTAACTCTCATGTTTAAGAAAGCTAAAAAACCCAAAGGTGTGAGGTGTTACCTATGAAAATCTAACAATTTAACCCGCTTCCATGTGAATATAACCTTAATGTTCACGAAAGTGCTGATCTCCACACCATTTTTTAAGTACCTCAGCTAGTTCCATCAAGAGAAAGATTGCCCTCGAGCAGATCCTACTGAATTGCCATATTTGAGTAAGAAAGCCAAAACACTCCATTAATTACCACCTGGTTGAGGTGCACTAAACATAGGCTTTTAGGGATAAAAACTAAAACACTAGCCTGTCTCATCTTCCATTATAATATCCAAGTATTTAATCAGAAAAATGGAAGTTAAAGTTTCCTTTTTTGTCTTTTTGACTGTCCTCTAACTTTCATACCTGGCTACTCTTTTTCCAGTATTATTTGAAAAAAGTCTGAATTCATGGGACAAAAAAAAAAAAAAAAAAAGGCTCATTCGAATTCTTTTCCACTGGAGCAATTCTTCTCGAAAAGCAGCTTTTAGAAACCCATGGATTTCAGATCTGCAAGTTCTCACATTCTTATTATCACCTATCGTGGTCTGCTTGTTTGAGCCCTGGATGCCAAGTTATCTCTAGGTAATTTGATTAAATTTGTGTTTTGTACCTGCTTGAGTTTTGCACCATAAAGTCAAGTGACACTGAATAGCAAGAAAATACACAAATACGATGGAGATGGCTACTATCAGATTGGCCAATATGATCACCTATCTGAATCATTTTGATCAACAACACTGCAAAGACAGAATACATAACTGATGGTTCTTTTCTGTTACTCCTAGGCTAGTACCTATAGTTACCTTTACTGTGGCTTTTACATTTAAATTCCTTTCCATTCATCACATACTAAATGATAAACAGAATATTTCTGTGAAGTCTCCTTTGGCTGCTAAGTTTCTTGGACAGCTGCTGAATCAAACTCCAAATCTGTACCTTGCAGATCTACTAGAGGCATTACAAAAAGAACACGCAAACCCCAAACAACCTTTCCCTCTGCTGTCTCCCATAACAGAAACAACCCTCAACGAAAAGTCATTTTAGATTCATACACAGACATTCTGCAGGATGCTATTCCTGTAGAACTAACATGCCTTACCTACAAGCCTGAGATATACTTGGATCTGTAGCTCCTAATTTCTCAAGACCATGCTCTCATCCTTTACCTAGAAAAGTTGAGGTGCTATTGAATACAAGGGTAAAGTCTTTCTGCCTGGTCTTATAGATCAGTCCCTCCCTGCTTTATCTGATTAGTAGAGCTGAGCAGAACAGCAGACTCGTAATTGGTTTCAGTGCAAAGACAGTTATGTTTCTTGCAAAAGTGAGGATGACTGATTATTGGAGACTTCAAGATACAACGTGCTATCAGATTTTTAGCAGATCCTAGGGAAGCAGAGAACAGTTGTCCCTCATTCTGAGTTTTTGTTATTTCTCTTTTCCTATTAGCCTACCCTGTTGTAACATCTTTTATATTATTCTCCAGTTTCTTCCCTTATTCCTTCTCTTTTATGTAGAATAACCTCTTCAAGCTGTTCCCCCACTGCATTTTGCCAATCAGTTATGTATAGACCCAGCACAGAAGACCTCAGAAGACAGTTACATACTTAGCTCCATTTTTCATCAATGGGAAGCAAACCATTGCCTAAGATAGAAGAATGTTTGGCCTTTCAGACTGAAAGAGACCTTTCAGACTAGTAAAATGACAGGGGAACAAAGCAATAACATGCTATAGTCCCTGACAGGAATGCTCAGTTCCACAGTTGGTAGCTGTTGCGGGAAAAGCTGTTTGCTAGTAAATGTCCCCTTCCCATCTTGCAGGCATCAGTTCTCCTCCTCTTAGATTTAGAGCATATGACTCTTCTGCCGCTCAGTGTCCTGACAGATGGGAAGGAGTCTGGGTAGGGTATACAATAATCTGGATAACTGACAGGTTTTTGCCTTCTTGCAGATGGAACTGTATTATTCAGGATGACAATTTCTTCCTTTGGCTGTGTATCAAGGAGATATGATACACTATAAAGATATTCTCCAAAACGAAAAATTTTTTTGGAGAGAGGTACTGCTTTTCAATAAAACAGTATTGTGTGTTTGCCCAAAAGCGTAAGGAAGCCATTTTTTTTAAATTTGGTGCTTTAGCAAGGATTTTACCTATCTGCAGAGAATTCAGTCATCCTTTCTGAAAGACAAGCTAAATTTATTTCCAATTTCTTAAATCATCTGACAATCTTACCTGAAGCTTAACAGTAACATTTACTAACATCAGCTAAATTCTATGGGCACCAAGAGAGGTTTTGATGCCAAACACTGGCACGGGTTTTCTATTTTATTGGAGTTATACTTTTAGGGTAGATCTTACGCTTTTAATATTTGTTATCCTTACCATTTTCCAATCTGTTTCAACCTTTCTCCAAATGGACTCTGCCTTCCAAACACCTGTTTCCCAGCCAATTATTTTTTCATTATTACTGGAAATCCGTGTATAACTATCTTCTACTATATTGTAGATGAGGTGGAAGACTTTAGATGTCTTCTCTTTTTCAGAGGGAATAAAAATTACTTCTTTTCTTTTCTGAAAAAGGCAAAACACACAAGCACCTTCATTTCCCAATACATTTCAGTAAGACTATGTTACTTTTAAACAGCATGCCATGGTTTCCCAATTCAGTTTTGCTGCCAACTGAAAAAAAAAAAATGTAATTTTTAAGAGAGGTCATGGACAAAAGCATTTCTGCAAAACAAAAGTTTTAAACCGGTTTCCTACAATAGACCTGCCCCTTTTCCAGAGGGGAGCAGTAATTTTATTTTTAAAGTTTTCACATAATTACTTTTAGAAGTAAATTACTAACAAAATAACATAAAATTAGCAAATTTAAGTAAGATATTAACATGTTAGGAATAGAAAACATACATGTTGAGTATATTTCTTGTACAATCAATAAGTAAATGGTTATTTTGAATAGCAAATGAATTATGTGATTATCATATACAGGTGCTTCTATATGATGGTTTACAAATCAACTTCAAAAAAGACAAGGTACAAACTTCATAACTTCACAGTATTACTTTTTTTTTTTTTAAAGATTTGTCATTGTTCTTATGAATTTCAGCAAAGCAGAAATTAAATCTTCTAAACTGTGGAGAACTGAAATAAACTCTTAGTTTCTCAAACTTAAACAATCTTACGAAACTCATGAATTTCACCTAACTGGTTCTATTTAGGCTTGTCAGTCATTCTATATGACAGGATCACTACAAAACTGATGTAATGAGTGATGGGCTTTGCATGCTGGCTCAAGCTAAATACGGCTATGGTTCTGGGAAACTGTATCTTAGCATAAAATAATTAAAAGTAAAATCTTGCTTTTGGAAATAGTCAAAAACATTGATGTGAAAATCAATCAAGTTTATTATTTAAGAGATTGTTCCATTTACACAATCCTAATTTCTCCCACATCATTTTATTAATAAAAATAGTTGGTCAAAGCCTGCTTCTAGGCTTTAACCAATAGTAACTAATAATATAAACATTTTTTTAAAGTTTTCCCAACTGCTTTCAACTGCCTTAAACTTTCTAGTTCTGTAACACTGTAACTAATTAAAATGAAAAGAAGTATTTTTTATTAACTGGTAAGAGCAAAAAACACTTCAGATCAAGGATTCCCAAACATTTTTAGAATCAACGGACCACCATCAATCCTCAAAAATTTCTTATGGACCTCTACTGAATTCACATCAAACTTGCACCTAATGTTTTTGCGTTTCACTGTTTGAACTAAATCTGCAGGCTACCTACCATAAGTGCTATTCCTCTGCAGACCATAATCACAGAACCTCTAGTTAGCTACCTCTAAGATGGTCACCAATGCAAAAGTTAAATACCTCTGGACCAATTTCACCTCTGGCTATTCGCCAAGCCATTGAACCTGATGTCCTTCCACCATATTCTCCGGGTTTAGGTGTTTTAGGAGAAATGAATTCAACAAGCTCCACAATTGTTCTTTCCAAGAGCTCTCTCCTCCTATTTTCTGACAAAGGACGTTGTCTCTGAAAATACATTTAAGAAACAAAGTAAAAAAATTCAGAAAAATGGTATTTGTAGTTCTGCTCTAGAGTGACACCAACGGGGAAAACGAACAATTGAAAAAACAGACTAACATTTAAAGTCTAGACTGACTGCTAGAAACATTAATCTTATACCACACGTGCAAATATAAATCAGTCATAACTGCATGGTTATTCAACAGCAGAGCTTTTTCAGTGAACTTGCATGCACTACGTGGATTTCTTTTAAAGTAAGGTTTGTGCTACATTTATAGTGCATTTGCTTGGATGATAAAACACTTCCATAGCATATTTTATAGCTATTCATATGTATTCTGTACTGTAGCTGTTCTTGATATTATTTGGGGGAAAGAGAAAGCAAGCATAATTATTGGGTCAAATTTTTCTTCTCTAAGGTGGAGTGATTTGGCTGGCAACAGTCTTGGGCTTAATCACAAAACCAAACAAAAGATTCAGCTGGTCTCTGAAAGAGTTATTTCACAGTGACTGACTATCATAAACAAACTATGACATTCATATTTTTACAGATATCAGAAAACTGAGAAAAACTTATCACCTACGCTTCAGGTAAATCAGTGGAAAAAAGAAAGAATTATATAACATGCTTTCTTTGCCCACATGAATAAAACTACAGACATTTTTTTGGTACACATCTTACAAAAAAAAGTCATTAGGAGGCTGGGGTTTTGTCTCCGTGATTTTCACATCAAATATACAGAGCTGAGATGTGAAGCCTTCTTCCTTAACTGTAGATACACCCGCACAGGGTTGGAAAATTAAATTCAACATTGAATATGCGAATGATTACACATCATCTTTTTTTTCTACTTTGGTGATCTCCCAAGGCATGCACACTCAGCCCACTAGGACCTGAAACTTCAGGCCAATAGGTATTCCAATTATCTCAAAAACAGTCCTGACACAGAAAGTTTTGCTATTAGGGACCAGAAAAGAGATATTTGAAGTGTTTTTGTTCCAGACAACAACATGGAATTGGATAAAAGAAAGCAGATACAGAGAAATGATGAGAAACAGCTCCAGCTGAACAAATCCTAGCTGCCAAATACCAGCTCTACCACAGCAAGGGGAAAATACACCTCTGCTTGTGTTGATGGATGACAAGCAGCGACTCCAGCAGTTCCTCATGAAACACCAGACCTTCCTGGTGCATTCTGGGTATCCATATGCAGTACTACAGATGTCACTCCAGCTCAGAAGTTTGATATGGCTTACCCTAAGTTA